TCGCCTTACAAGTTCTTGACCTTATGTTCTTACTTTGTAAAAGTTGAATATATCCACGTTTGATAAACGCAAAATGATCAGATTGAAACTCTTATCGGACATAGATAGAAGGAGTATTTTCAGGCATGGATCCCTGAGAGAACACGACACTACGAAGTGTTTCCTTCCAGAGGTTTTATAGACAGTGGTGAGATGATAAGATTAACTGTTCGGCCAACTACAGCTCAGTTTCCTTCTGCTAAGCTTATGGTGAAATGGGCGGAAACGGATGATGACAAGGATGATGTAGAATTTGCATTGAGAGAAGGCGGGGGTCGATCTGGCCACATCGTCCATCCGCTTATCTCAAAGAATACTTACAACGAGAGACGATATCCTTCCGCTTTGTTGAAAGCTTTCGATGATCCTTGGTTGGAAGAGAGGCGGCCGTGGATGCTGGTGAAGTTTGGTTACGCAACTTTTGCAATCCGGAATGAAGATCTGATTTGGTGAGTCAATCATACAACAATTGAGTTTCTCCTGACTTTCAATGTGAGATTAATGTAAAATGCTGTGGCAGTATGTTGCAGGAAAGCTGTCGAGGAAGTAATCAACGAACTTGGCAGATACTCAGTATTCTTGGAAAAATGCCCTTCGTACTACAGCCTCAGTTGTAACACCCAAAAGGAGGTACTCGGCTTTTTAAAAATTTTTCAAGATTGCTGCAAATCATCATATAGATCTTTCTGTAGTCGACTATTGCTCAGGTAGCAAATGGGATATACAGTCATCTCGAGGCAGAGCAACCAAGCGTTTATCCAGTTTTGTTGCTTATCGATGATTGTGAGTTCTACAAATCTGCTGTCTATCCTTTGGTTACACTATACTTTCCTCATATTGCAGTTGATGGCAAATTTTCCGATTTTATAAAGCAGCTTTTCGCAAAATACGTTTATATTTTTACACTGAGTGGTCAAGAAGTCGCCGATATAGCTGCAAGTAGTGAGGAATACCCGTACATAGAGCTGAGGTAAGCAGATTTTGCTATGAGAGTCGAGCTGATTTTTTGTTGATGAAGGGATTGGTGCAAGGAGTTCTCTGCTCTTATTGCGAATTCGGAAGGTGGAAGATGTTTATTTCCCGCAAGTTGTCCAAAGTGTGTTATCGCAACTAGAATTTTTTTGTGATTAATTTCTATCTGCTTTTTTTCAGTTCTGCTGAAAGAACATCTCGAGAAGAAGAGTACGAGTGAGTTATTCATCTGTGTCGTATATTTTCATCCTCACATCCATCCCATGAACATGTAGACTGGTATTCAAGTTAAATCCTCCACATGATTCAGTAAGGCTTGGTATTCGTCTAATCTAAGATATCTAGGTGCATTCTGATTTTGTCCAAGCATCTTATGGTTGTTCTCACTCGTGGTCATTTACCTAGCACTTTATTGATAGAGTTAATCTGTAATGTGAA